TATTAATAACCTATTCACCACTGAGACCTTTTTCTCATTGCACACTCACCTAAATATTACAAACAGTCTTCTTTCTGTAGATGACAACTGAACGTTGATACAGCGGTGGATTACATGTAGTTGAATTATTCTTGCTACGCATTGTTATTTTACTGAAGAATACATATACCGGGTAGATAAGTGAGACGATGTCTTCACACTGTAATGTTTGTTTACAAATCCGTACAATAATTTAAGTAGCGGACCTGAGAGTGCTAAGGTGGCCACAGACCTGCTCAGGACGCTGTAGTACACTTCCACCAGGAGAGAAAGCCACAGTGGAGAATGTATGCGACTAACGGTGCGTTCCTACTATGTTGTGACGATAGATAGTCGTGCAGTTTGAAGTGTCGTGGCTTGTATATTTAAATGACAACACGCTTAACTGTCTTTCACGACTTTGTTGACGACAGACTGTCGTGACAATGTGAAGAGCTAGAACGACCGACGTCTAACGATAAATAAAACGTCACGATAAAAATGTGACCGCAGATAATTGCAGCTTCAAACGATTCTGTTGTGCAAGCGATAAGGAGGATAAAATTGTCGTCACGATCTAGTGGGAACAGCTAGACACGACAGCCGTCCAGCGTTTAAATAAAATGTTACGACATAATGGGAATGTGCCCTTACACTGAACTGCGAGGCTCTTCGCCCTGGTGAGGACGGTAGTTTGGTGTATATATTGCCATTTATAGTTGGTCTGTAATGTAAGAGGTTTCGCACGTGATTGCGAATGCCGATTACGCGAATGACATTATTATATAAAAATAGTCACTATCTTCTTGCGGTACAACCATTGACTTACAAATAAATGGACGACGGGTCTAATACAAAAACCACGAAAAAAATGTCCCAAGTCAACCTATTCGAAATTTAAATTGTAATGTCATCGCAGTATCGCGCTGTCAGTCGAACAAATGAAGACTAAAGCGGAGTTTGGCGCTCTGTATACGATTTTAGCGCCTTACAAGTGCGGACACTTTTTAGCGCGGACCCGACGTCCATATAATTGTAAGTCAATGGGTACAACTGAAATAATGAAATCTAAATTACATTCCATATTCAAACAGTCTGCAATGAAAAGTAAAAACACTGAGGAATGCTTTTTTTCTAATTACCCACTCCGAAACAAGCCGGCACGTTCGGAAATTGGTCCTTTTGTGAGGTGCGGCTCAGTCTCCGCATCAACTAATTAGCAGCCTGTATAAAACATCTCATGTGTGTAGGTTTAGCGCAGGGCTGGTTAAGAAGAGAAAAGAGTAATTCAGTCATGTAATAGGTATAATAATTTCAGAAGTGTAATTACCGGTATTGTAAATGAGAGGGTCGATGATAGTAGATATATAGATAGAAATCTTAGCAAATTGACAAATCGCACCCCTTAGATAGAATGGCATAAGTGGAATTACGTCAAATATGTTTATTGCTCTAATAGATGCAGAAAAATATAACCTACATCCTCCCCAATTTCTCTAACTATCTACAATATTAGTCGATAGAGTTACAAGAATTGGAGAGGATGTGGGTTATATTTTTCTGCATCTAATGAAGCAATAAACGTTATTATTTTTTAGTTATTAGTTTATTTGGCTGTGAAGAGCTGCAACTGGGTAATCTGTTTCTATCAATGATTTATATGAGGTACACACATAGAAGGGAAGCCTTTGCCATGCAGTGAGATAGTAAAGGCTGAAAAATGCAATGAGACATATGTAATAAACCCTACTGCTGAAGTCCGACAGTCAAAAAACTTAGGTGACATCCCTATCTCTTTTTTGTTCGCTATCGAGGTCTTAATTGGAGAGCCATGAAAAGCACAGCGCTGTCACCACGCCTGCGTAAACCATTGTGAATCGCAAACCAATTTGCTATAAGGTACATGCAATTGAATGATTTGAGATTATAAAGTTAACATTTTTATCACCTTTTAAAAAAGTACCTTTACCTCTCTATGGCAATCATGACATCACAACTCATTGCAGTGAAAACAAACAATAAATTCTTTCTGTATACAGAGGCGCATTATTGAAGCAATATCATTGTATTACAACATTATGTACCCTCTTGTATACAGTACGCTTTCATTGATATTGTCAATTGTTTTGCAAGATTGACATACAAACCATGATATTATGTGCAAAACTTAAACAGAAAAGAAAGTAGTGGGTTTGTCAACAAAATATAAATATTTTTTTATAATCTGTATTTGGTAAAAAGCTGGAATGCAATAATTTAAATGCATACAATTTACAATAACTCCAGCTTATAATTTTAAATTTACAATAAACTATAACTTAACTGTATATCTAATGGAGCACAATAAAGATTTTGTTTTATGAATTTACTTTGATTATAGATTATACATATCTATATGCAGTACTCATCAGTACAATCATGTTCTTAATCTGTTCTTTATAAGGATATCTGCCTTTATTAATGTTAAGTTAATAACATCTAGTCATACTTTACTGTGCTCCACTAATTCACCAATAAAAAAACAATGAAAAAATACAATGAAGTCTTGTTGAATAATTTGAAAATGAACCTTAACTAAAAATACTCCATAATGGAAATATCCTTAACATTTAATTAATTATAAATTCATGATTATACTTTCATTTTTGTTCACAAGTAAAACAAGGTAAAAAAAAAGTAAATACTGGCAGTTATGTCATGGTACCGAAGACAGGGTTGTGTCTGCAAATACTTGGTCCGTACTCCATGTACGCTTGCTTAGTGTGGCACACTTGGTAGAACTCTGGGGTAGAGCCTAGCATACTCCCTCCAAACCATACAGCATACCTCTGCATGTTGTGGGAGATCACCTGAACATCAATTGGTTTAGGTGTAATCCGTCCTTCAGACAACTCTGTAGAGAGCTTTAGTCTTGCATCAACAGTGCGCTTGATATCTCGCTGCAACCTCCTACCAAAATCACGGAACATCGTTGATCCACCAGATAACACAATGTTACCATATAATCCTCTCCTCACATCGATGGGACATGATTGTATCACATCATCTACCATCTCATTCAACGGAACGGTGAAATCAGCATTAGAAAACTCAGGATGGAAGAAAATCTCTGGACCCAAAAACCTTTCATAGCCCACATCTACTGTAAATGGATTTTTAGTTATTGCATTAATGCCTGTGTATTTCTTCATCCATTTGCCAGGGTCAGAGTCATACTTGGCAAATTCTTTGGCAATATCTGGACAGATATAGCTGTATCTCTCTTTAATTGCTTTAGCAGTCTCTAAACTCTGTTCTGGTGGAATACCAACCTCACGCTCACGGAGCAAGGATTGAATGAACGAAGTGATGTTCCTTCCTGCAATTGGAATGTGTTTGATACAGGAGCCAATGACATAGCCTTCAGCTACAGGGACAATATGAGTAACACCATCTCCACTGTCTACTACAATGCCAGTAAAAGTGCGTTCGGCCGAAACACGCGATTTCCACGACGCGGCGAGCGCGAGGACCGCTTGGACGGCGATGTACAAGCCAGGCACATTGAATGACTCAAACATTATCTCTGCTAAATACTCCCTATTTTCGGGCGTGTTCAATGGAGGTTCCGTCAGCAAGAAATGGTGATCTTCTGGCTCAGCACGTAAGTACTTAAAGATACATTGCTCAATATACCGCTCCATCAAGTCCCAATCTTCAACTAGGCCATGACGTACAGGATACTTGACAGAGTATCCCGTAGCTTCAAACGCCTCGTCCCCGATGAAAAAGTCCAAGTCCTCGACGGCTTTAGTCATACGCCGCGTGGACTGGTCGCCAACTTTAGCTGTTTCCTTTATCGCTATAGCAGATGGGATGATAAACTGAGGTTCCTTATTACCGGCAAAGCCGAGCTTCGTATACCCCGTACCTACGTCGATAACACATGCCGGCAAGTGATCGCCCATAATTCCTTTCTTTGGACAAGCGCTATTTACTCAATAAGAATCCAATTTTATTTAGTACAGGGTGTGGTGATTTCACTTTTTCAGTATTTATCACGAATTTCTCGACTTTGACACTTGAGAAAACGTCAAGAAACGGAAGATGATTAATTGTACGTTCCATTCGTCTGAATTAATTTCGGAGAAATCAACCCTACATTACTAAACGAATATGATTGTCTCATAACAGCAAATTCAATTTTCTGTGCATGTTTCATATAGCTAGGTATCATAAATACCTATTATAAAAAACACATTATTTAAATTATTTCACACGTTTTAGTTACAATTTTTCGGCTATGAGTGAAACGGGATGCTCAAAATTCGCGATCGTTTCATGACTAAATTTAAATAAAATATTGTAGAGATATTGTGTCCGACAGGACGGCTGGACCAAACGAGATGTACAAATCAAACTGTGCTCATTATTTACTACCTTTATTGACACAGTTTCTACCTTAGCGTTAACGGAAATATTAAAAAAATAAGGTGGCCAGCCATACTCACGTCAGGTTGGATGAGAACTTTACTTTTTTTGTGGTTCTAGCAGTAAATAATTTACTTTTTTTTATATAACTGTTTACTACCTAAACATGCTTTTTTTCACTATTTTAGGAAGGTTATAAACAGTTATTTAAAAAAAAACGCCTTTGCAAAAGTTATCTTATAAAAAGACAGTTATCTTCTTCCGTGTAATTGCTAATAATACTTTTGCAGGCGCTTAGAATATGCTAACAATGGTTTCTGGATTATCTTTGCAAGCTATTGTACGTAGTTAAACAAAAAGGTATAGACACGAGGTATTACAATGCCACTTTAACAGAGTTTGGTAATGTTATTTATCACAGAGAGTGAAAACATATCGACGGTTAACAGGCAAAACCTCTTAAGCCACATTGACGGAATTTTACAATAAACGATAAAATATTGTTATTTTTTTTTACGTCTAATTTTAACTTTTGGTAAAAACTTCTCTTATTTTATTAACAATTTACATTACTTTAACATCTTAAACTAATGAACATTTGTTTTAGTTTTAATAAACTATTATATATTACTTCAAATTATAAAAGTACCTACATTTATGCTGACATGTGGAATACGACTTATTACATTTTTAGATTCATGGAAAAAATAAAATAATAATGAAACAATATAATTTTTGTTAAGTTTAATATTACTATAATATTCTATTCCTATAATATTCTATGACAATAAATAGTAGATTGTACATTGTGTACAATCTACATTGTGTTCCGATTTATCTCTGGTTCATCTATCTCCGACATTCTGGAATTGATTCAGCTTTATTAAAATGTGCGGAATGATGACATTACGATGCCACAACAAGCAAACATTGTATGTATTTAAAAACATAACACTTAACAACACCAAAGCACTATTTCCCTGTACAACTCGCACGACGTACCGAAACATCGCAAACGTTGCCAATGCAATGCCAACTTTTCTTTAGCACCACAAATTAGAAAGATGCGCCAGCAAGCAAACTGTCATACAGTCATGACAGACAAGTGGCTTGCGAGACGTTGCAGAATTTTTTTGTCGTTCTTGTGTTACTAGTATGGTATATTAGATAATACCACAAGCTGCATACGATCTATTTGCTTCTTTGTTTTAATTTTAGTGGGTTAATATATTTTACTTTTCCTCTTAGGGCAACACTTATGGACACTAGTGAAGTATGATAGATTGCCGGTTAAAAAATGAAGCGATTACCATGAATATCTCATTTTTTTAAAAAACTGTCGATATACGTCAGGCTTGACACTTGTAACCTTTGAACCGTTGTTATTTAACGTATTTCAATTTCATTTGTTTTCAATTTAAATATTGTGACTTAATGGTAGAAAATAAAACCACAAAAATATAAAGCAGGTATTAATGTTTTATTGTGACCTTCTAATGCTATATTTACACAATTTACATTACAGGAATGTAACTGTAACATGCACACTAAAAGCGATTGTATTTTGTATGTTACGCTTCTTAATTTTTAATGTATGAAATTTCTTTTAAAAGAATATTTATTGTACCAACTGAAATAAACCCTGTTTTATTACTTTTGGTTGTCTTTTTTTATGTAAATGTATATGGTAATTTTTTTCAAATTTGTTCAACACATTCTAAGAACCAAACTAAAAATATCTTTCGAGGCTATGTCAGTATTCACAGTTATTATCTATTTCTCAACATACAGAATTAAGTATACCTACATTCTTTAAGTGGGTGTTTGTGGGTGGTGGGTGACCTATTTAAGAAACACGGTAAAAATAAAAATTAACTTCATTTTAGGTCATCTAGATTTGGAAAAATAAGACCTTAGTCATGAACTGAAAATGTGTTGAATCACTTTTATAAGAAATGATGATTACGTAATAACATTTTTACAGCAAACAAGAGTAACTAATTCGACTTTATATTATAAAAACTGTTGTCCCATTCCAGCTACAACTTTTAATCAAATTATATTATTAAATACATTAAATTCAGCTGACTAAAAACATAAATAACTTATAGCAGCTTTAAAATAGGTATACAAGTAAATATAATATTTACTTTAGTTAGCCATTAATAAGTGGAACTAACTGTACAATGCATCTTTAATTTGTCCATTTATTTCGTTATGTTTACGTTAAAAATTACATAAGTTTTTGCGAATGTAACAAAATCTTTAACCTAAAGCCAACCAAAATTTTCCATGATGCACATTCTTGATGTTAAAAAAATAATTATAAATTTCTTACACTAAAATTTACTTAATTTAGATACGATTATTTCATAACAATTACAGTATAGAGTAAAATCCGAGTAACAAATATTTCAGTATTGCAGAAAGGTTTGGTTCAATAAAGGAAGATAATTATATTAAATATACATTGAGAATTTCAACAATACATACATCTATTGCATATAGAAAGATTACTTAATTACCGTGTTATTTAATTGACATAAAATGTACAGTACCTATTCATGTTTTGAGATGGTATAGCAGGCAGGTCAGATCAATAGATTCAGGCGCTACTTTGCGGAAGTCTATGCTAATAAAAATGAAAGAAATTTATTTATGGAGGTTAAAATTAATAAATAGTCTCTCCGTATAAAATTAATAGATAGCAACTACAGTCACAGATTCCTTTACGTTTCGTAATTTTTACTCAAATAGCTCGAATTACGTGGCCAGACACTAATTTCCAAGATATAGGCATTATTCTGATAAACTCTGGTTCTACAATTAATTTGTACAATTATTACTTAAGTTTTATGTGCAATTTATGGTAATTTATCTCTGTACAAACTTTATATGACAAACCGTTCTGAGCGAGCTCGTTCTCCGGTCGAGCGTTAAGCAATCAACAACCCTTGAGAATACCTCGCGGAGAGGAGAAACAAGTGTCGGGTATTTTTTCGCAGGGGTTGTTGTAGTTGCGCTTGTGTTATTATGCGGAGGGAGGGTGAGAAAATTGCCTGCATGTAAAGAATATACAATACGAAGGAACCTCCATGCGGAGTAGCAAAAATAATTTATTTCCATTTTTATTCGCCAGGAGATATTAAAATGTATGCATTCAGGTTTAGTGATATTATTTTAATGCTTGCCAATTGCTTAAGTGAATGTTAAATATAATTATTGCTTAGTCTTATTTATTTTACGTCAATTAAAAAACTATTACCAGCGACATGTTGATACAAAAAACAAGACAGATATTCAGTATCAATACTTCAGACTTATTATTAAAGACAAGCCACAACATACCTTAACAATACAGCTAGGGCTAGCAACAAGGTTAACAAGGGACAACTTACAATATCTTACTATAGCACGTATTGTTACCATGTAAAATACCAACAACTTCCCAGGACTGTATTACTAACATCATATACAACAACTTTTGTTTAACGACTTTAATTAATTTATCAGATTTTACAAAAAATAAAAATATTTATCTACGACATATCATGAACCCTCTATGATGTTGTGTTCAAAAACCGCAAATTACGACCAGCATTGAGATAAACTGTTTTGTTAGAAAACATTTCTTATTTGTGAAAATATTATTATTGCTTATTATTAACATCCAATTCGATTTCATTATTACATTCCAATTTCGAACATCTCTGAAAAACAAAAGAATGTGATTCGACCTCAATTCTAATATCAGTCGAGATGAAATTTTATTCGTAATAAAATGTCATTATCAAAAAATTTTGACAAATTTCGCACGTTATGTACTTGTTATCAAACGATATGATAGTTGGGACCGACTCTAGTTTGTCTATGAATTAAACAAACACTATGATTGTGTGACATGCGTGAGAAAAGTTTTTATTTGCCGCCATTTCGGCAGTCGTAACATGCGGTTCCTAAACACACCATAGATAGCTTTATTATGTGCATAGATCATACACTCTATATTTGAGAATTATGTGTACATACGAGTAGATAAAGCAGTGTATGTAACTGTACATAATTAGGCATTAAATACTCGTCATCAGTACGGTAGCTAAAGAAAGCATCCAGTACCAAAATTATATTTATGAACGACACCATGTGGGAGGCATTGCTAAAAATACAAGATCTAAAATAGTGATAAACGTAATTCTTACAAGTTTATTTTTGTCCAATCTATTACGTTTTCTAGAATCATGGAACAATGTTGTTGTTTATGATGTTAGTAATATAGTGCTGTGAGGATAGCATTTTACAAATAACCCTGTATATTCAGTTTGAGATATTTTAAAATTGAGTGGTTTGTTTGTGTATTTGACGGTGTTTTTCTTCTCTTATATACGAGCTCTCTCCTGTCAGTGTAGCGCCTTCTAAGATAAGACAAGACAAATACACTTCATTGCACACATTAACAGCAAACACAAAAATCCAACACGTAGTATCTGTACTGTCACCGCATGCAACTGCTTATATGACCATGCAACTCCGTCGTCCTTCTTAACCGACGTCAAAAAAGGATTTGCAATTCGATTTTGTATTTCACGCCTACTCCGACATTTGTGAACCGATCGAGGATTCTTTTTTGTTGGAAAGGTGGCACCTCAATAGTGGTTTAATTTAATTTTGATGAAAATATTTCACCTCTAAGGGTGGCAAATTAGGGGATGAATTCGGTTTATTGGATTTCACGTTATTGGCAAATAGATGTAATTCCACAAAATTTTGAGGTCGGTTTTTTTAAATAAAAATGTTATAATTATGTTGTAATAAATTTATCAAACTTAGAAGTAATTTAGTAAGCAAAAATATCGATTGATATTGTAGCTGATTAACTGACTAAATTGTTATGGTAATATTATTTCAACAAAATAGTTATAGTACTGGTCTCTTTTAACATTAAGTAGAAGTTATTAAACATTTTTCAAGTGGCAAAAGGATGCTTTTACTGTAAGATGTTACAAGACATTAAAATAATGTTAGTGGCAGAATACTTTCAAGATATAAGAAGTTGGGGTCTTGCCATGAACTCTTATTCCAATTCAGTTTAGGACCTAAAATGGATCATTGTGAGATAGCGCTACATGAAGTGTATATCACTATCCTGCTTCTTGTCATTACGAACCTATATTGAACTGTAATGAGAGTTCATGGTAAGGCCCCAGTTGTGTAGTTATGCACATAATTGATTTTTCCACACTGTCATTGGATTGATATCTTTAAAACTTGAATACAACTTGAAAACTCGGTAATTGTAAATTCTTTAATATTATCTTATACACATTTTTAAGACAAAAGCGTACCATCGTCTCGAGATCTTGGCCAAGCGTCCATTTTACATTGAAGAAAATTGTGTGAACATGTTTATATTGTGTTATGTGAATTTATGTGCTAATGTAAGATATAAGATGTTCCTCGCTACATTAATCAACCCCTATGGTATCTGTAAGGTTTAGATCTCTCACCACATCGCGTAATCGTTGTCGTCCATATCAAAGATTGTGAAGAAACCGAGGATGGTAAGGTACACTATAACGTTGCCTGCCAATGTGAGATAGCAGGCGCCTGTTAAAATCTGAAATAAAAAATATTGCTTCCATTGAAGTAAAAATGTACACAGCACACTAAAACGAAAAAAAAAATGTTATAATATATATTCTCAGTTCTTAAAAGCTACGTCACATGAACTAATTTCGAGCAATGATGTTGAGCGAATCCATTGAGTACATAGCCAAACCGAACCAAATAGTAAACTGAAACATTATGGTTGTGGCACTTTATCACCACAATTATAGTTCAGCTATCAGAGTAACTACAGACTAATTAAAATTAAAATGCTATCTATATGTATGGTGGATTTACGCTTGCTACGGAAACATACGAAACATTTTTAGAATCTAGGCTTCAATCTGCTGGGTATGAACACTACATATGAGTTAAATGACATAATAATTTCCAGGCATTAAAAGTTATAGATGACAATAATAATAACGCATACACTCATAGCCCCTCACTATAATAGGAAAACCCTATGTCGCGGGTGCCATGGACACATAGACAATCACAAATTACACCCAAACTCACGAGAGAAATAAATGTAGGCCATACTAACATTTGTCCCGGCCCGGGAATCGAACCCTGGACCTCTGTGTGGCGACCAGCATGGTAACCGTACAGCGACAGATGTAGATAGATAATATAAAGATGTTAATTTACCACATCTGCACGGCTGAGTACAATAGGCAGCGCAAAAGAGCTGACAATAAAGCCCATAGTGATGAATATAGCCATTTCCATGCAAGGCGAGTTGGTTCCACCGCTGGTATCTGTGTGACGGCGCGCTATCATTGTCGGGATTGGGCAGAGCACGTAGAATAGGACTACGAAAAACGGCCACCATTTTCTGAAAATGCAAATTTTTGCTTTACGAATGTGTGCAGTCTTTAGAACTTAAAAAATATTTATTTTTATATTTTCATTACCATGGCTAAAGGTAAATTACGATTAATTACCGACTTGTAACATTATGATGGAAAAATAAATACTGTCACAAAGATAATACCAACATTTTATTCCAATTAACTATAGGAATTACAAACACATAAAGCAACTAAAACCTATTATGAAAGTACAATGTATGTTAGGTAGATAAAAAGCAAATATGATTTGCAATCACAAATTCTATTAATTTTGAATCACATATTTTTATGGACTATACAGTAACAAGTTTCAACTAACAAATTTATGCAATTCTGAATTATATTTGTTATTTTGTGTAAATAATCCACTTAATTATTATTATTATCTTTTTATCTTGTTTTTAATAAGGCGTGTAACACTTGGGTGTCAATGTCGGTTTTGTGATGTACAGCCCCGTGGAGTATTCTTATCTATCGCGTCGCCTCGTAGTGAGAGGCAAGACCTTTATATATGAATAGTGTTTTAGCCCTCTTTGCAAATGGGGCACCCAGCACAACTTTTAACACCCCAACCTGCCATATATCCCCTAATTGAAATTGGCTTCTTAGAGCCACATAATGGTCACATTCCATCAAATGTAGCATATCTTCGAGTTTGTTAAAAAAATGACACAGCGGAGACTCTGCTCTTTTTATTAGATGGTAGCTAACTTATTTAGGGGAATGTGGCCAGCACAAAGACTAAAAGCTAAGACCAACGCATATCTAGAAAGTGTTAATTGTTTTGTTCTATGATATACTGGAATTCTATTAGGTTTTTTCAATTAGTCTCATAATTTTTTACATATAAAAGCTTTTAAAAGCCTTTTATTATGTTTTGACTACTCTATAAAGTTAAATTCCCACACAATTGGAATAATAATAATATTTGAATATTTACTACAGCCAAATATTTGGGCCAAACCTAATAAAGTTTCATATTTTATGTTTAAATGTATCTGAAAAAAGACAGTTAAAGATGCACAGATATATGAGTGAGTCGCGATGTGTTATGTTTTTGTTTTATGGTTCATTCAACCAAGTATAAGAGACAGATGGGTACTTACTGTTCAAATTTCGGTAAGGCACAGGCTAATATGACAAATGTCATTCCAATAGAACCAGCAAATGCCAGTGAGATCAAACTGTAATAAAAATTTACAATTTTAATTTATTTTACACTTCAATAGGCAGACAATTCTGCAGTTACAACCAGGATAATATGGGTAATTTTCAGGTTAGTTTTCTCCACCTAATTTTGGTGGCAATTTCTAATATTTAAATATTCATGAATATTATTGTGAAATATTTAATAATATTTTAGGATTCAACACTCGAATATTAAGTAATACTTCATGACAATATTCTAGAATATTTAAAGAATAACAGACTACCAGAATTATATACAGAAAATAAACCTGAAAATTACATATCTAAATAATTAGAATGTAAAACTGGAAACAAAATTTAAACTTGCCTGATATATGTATACCATTATTCAGTGCTATCTACTTGGCAAAGGGTTTGTACAGTTTTAATTTTACCATTAAATGAGTGACATGTTGTACAGTTACAGTAAAGGCTCAGTGTAATGTATCACTCAGAAGGTATTCATGACAGATCATACTGGTTTCATTGAGTATGGGAGTGCATTACTCTACATCCTATTTCGGTGTAATAACAATGACATATTGAAAGTTATTTTTTTATAAAAAATAAGAGTGCATTTGACCTTCATCTCACATGATGGAAAGTGACAATGAGGTCGAGGATGTAGCATGCACACCTAAATAATGTCTATTCACTCTTGTCTTGAAAAGGTCCAAGTTATAGCCTTCAGGGAACAAGTTTGCAGGGAGGGAATTCCACTTGGTAGCCACTCGCCATACAAATATCTAACTAAACTTATAGTATTTTCTTACAAGACATGTAATTCATTGAGTCATATTATAATAAATTATATAATAATTCATGCAAAACTTAATAATACACAAAACTAGATGACTTTATTGTCAAAGCAAAGGTAGGTCAAGGTTTCAGAATATTAATAAGCTCATTATTTGGAAAGAAACACTAAAATCATGAATAATACATATTACATAGGTCATCAATACTTTTCCATAACTGTGGTCTTTCAATGATTTTTCTCAGTACTGTAACTGGGGCGTAGCTTAGGAAGCGTAGCGAGAGGTACTTTTATGAATTTAAAGTGGAATAATCTTCAAAATATACTGTATTGTATTCTTTCACATAGTTTTTGCGTTGGGTTACAATTCAATAATGTCAAGATGTTCCGATGATTCTTTTCTTACTTCCTTTTTTATAACACTTCTAATTACAAACTATTCATTCAGCCAGTGATTCTACTCATAGAGTAGAGCCTAGACTACAGTACTGATACTCTCAAGTACAAGAAACAAAATAATAATAATGAAATCAGTTTTAGTATTTTAGCGTGACACCTTAGGTATTATTTGCTTACGTAATGGGCTAGTTACACAATGAGACATGTGTTAACCGCTAACGGAGATACGGTACTACAGATTTCTGACTCGCCACAGAACAGAATACATGAAAATGTACAACAATCATATTTCTTATCCAACAATATTTTCTGTTACTTGAAAAATTACCATTAAAAGCTGAACTAGGTAATAAATAAATTGATGCTCATTTTTTCCAAGTAAACCTTCAGATTACAGCTCAAAGCATTTCAGTATTTCCACGTTGTAATTCTTTATTTAAAAATCTATGTGTTATCTACTTGTATCTTTTGTTCTTTTTACATAAAGAAGTGACTATAAAAATAACATTATTGTGAATAAATAGCAAGTGTTGGCCCAAAAGATAACCACAGTGATCTATTGCAATTATATGACGATATTCTGTAGAAAAATACGTCACTTACCCTGTCCATCATAAGTGAAGGTAAACCACATGAAAATAAAGAAATTTTAAGACATTAATTAGATTACACCAAAACTGTTTGTAAATAAATGAGTCATTCTAAGGGCATCTAAAGAAAGGTCTGATGTCGAATAAACATTTTAACCAATTTCGAGCATGTTTTACGATGAACACATACCTTTGATTCCGGCCATTGTGTCTGTTATTATATTAATCAGAAATAATATTGCATTTATCTACTATAACAATGAAAACGAATAGAGTTTCATAAAAACTCCAATCACTCACACAAAATTACACGATTCCAAGTGACATTTCAAGAAAAGTGTTGCCAAATATTATCAGAAGGTTCCCATTTGATCGAGAGATTAGATTAAATATTTACTGCGTGCCAATTTGCATCGTTCAAAGCTATAAATGACAATATAAAAATAACCTACATCTTTGTCTATGATTTAAGTTTGTTGATTTCACAAGTTGATTTCGTTTGAAGAAAAAACAGTGAAACATTAGATTATAAATTAAATGTTATAATAGTTCTTTCTGCATTTAGAGTTGGAACATATTGAAGCATTATGGATGACGAAGCAGAAACTTATAAGCTATGGAGAATTCGTAAAACTGTTATGCAGGTAAATTTGTAATAGGTTATCTTTTAAACTCTTTGTGAAGTAAATTCTGCTAATATTGCAAAAAGGTAGGAATCAATGTGATGTCCTAACAAAAATAATCCAAATAATGTTCCCAGGTTATATGAATTTGGACAATTTCTTAGAAATAACTAAAACAATACTAACATAATACATTCAAGCAGGTTTAACAACAAATTTACGATAATTATTTGATTGTAATAATTTTAGTTATGTCACGATCGTGGATACTTAGTAACTCAAGATGAATTGGATCAAACATTAGACCAGTTCAAAGAACAATTCGGCGATAAACCAAGGTAAATAGTCACGCTCACCAATATGCAGTTTAGCTGTCTTTGAAACTGTTCTTTCCATGATATTTTTCCTAAATTGGTCATTTAACATTTCTACTATCATTATGCTCGGAATACATAAATATATAAGCCAAAATCTCTGTAAACATCAAATTTTTATCTATTTATACTTTTTTACATTTCTTCTTGACAGTAGCTAACCAAAAAGTTTTTATTGTTTTTTAAAAAGTTTAATATCAATGTGTTTGGCAAAAATTTCAATAAAAGTTGTTGTGATATGAAGTAAATTTGCAATATAAAGCTAGTTGCTACAAAATTTAATTAGTTATTGTATAAAAAAAACATAATAATACACATACTTAAGAAATGAAATAAAATTAATTATGCATTTCCAGTGAAAAGCGTCCAGCAAGAAGTGATTTGATAGTGTTGGTAGCTCACAATGATGATCCTACAGATCAAATGTTCGTTTTCTTCCCGGATGAAGCCAAGATTGGAATCAAAACTATAAAGACTTACTGTACTCGAATGCAAGAGGAAAATATCCATAGAGCTATTGTAGTAGTACAAGCTGGTAAAGAGTTGGTATATTTTGAATGCTTGAATTTTTAATTCTATATTTATTTACTCCTAGCTGGTGCCTGTCAGTTTGTCCGCATAAAATATGTACTTCTAGTAGCCTACACTGGCCTATACTAACTTTCATGGTTTTGGTACTTGGTGTAACAGGCTTTCATAGTTTTATTGGTTCCCCATACAAACTTTCGTCCCTATTTCACCCCTTTTAGGATTTATTTTTGTGAATAAAAGTAGCCTATGTCCTTCTCCTAGGTTCTATTTATCTCTAGATATGAAAGTGTAACAAACAGGAGTTCCTTTCACATTTATAATAATAGTTTGGATGATGCAATTATATATATAATATTCTCATTCTAGAACACATTACTTAGTACATATTTCACATATTGTCTTCTTTTTCCCAGGTATGACACCATCAGCAAAACAGTCTTTAGTAGACATGGCCCCGAAGTACATCCTGGAGCAATTTCTAGAATCAGAACTACTTATCAATATAACAGAACACGAATTGGTGCCAGAACACATAGTCCTCACACCTGATGAGAAGCAGGAACTGCTTGCTAGATAGTATCCTTTTTGCAAATATTGATTAATTATAAGAGACATGGCCATTGCCAGATTAGAACATTATAGAAATTATTACCTCTTTGGTCCTTACAAGCGAAATGATTGGTTGTATTAATATTAGACACCATTCCAAATTCTGGTAAACATGGACCAGTGCCATTCGCAGAATTGTGTAGTGTTTTTCTGTACAGTAATCCACATTGTTTTTCTATTATTTCTACTACTTGTATAACCTAGGAGTATTTGTCTGTATTAGTACTCTGGATAGACTGTAAGGGGAAACCAGTAATAAGAATCTATTAATGAAACTTTCAGGCAAAACATTTTATTAACAAAAATTTCAATTTTAATTATTAATTTTACAAACATCATGAGTCAGTTTTTTATATGATAACAATCGACGGGACGAAGAAGTCGTGCACTTGGTGGTAAGCGACACACCTGTCTGTAGCAGTTGCAGTGCCAATTAGAGCTTTAAATTGCAAAAACTTTAGGGGTACTGCCCTGTCACCCTGAGACATAAGTTGATAAGTTCCATATGCATGTAATTTCTCTAGCACACCTAACCCAACGCAATGCTTACATACAGCTTGTCGGCAGAAATAGGTAAGGTAGCAGTAGTTCTAAACTCTTTTACAAGAAGCTCTATTGCTACTATCTACAGTCACATGCATTTGCACATAAATTAATTAAAGTTGTGGATAAAATGTTATTTTCATTTTATATAAATATGTAATACATATTTATTATATTATAAACATGTATAATACATATTAAAATGTATACATGTAAATATTTACATTAATGCTTCCATGACTCTTAGAACAGTAAACTGAAAGAAAACATGTTGATGAGAATACAAGCCGGCGACCCAGTGGCGAGGTACTTCGGACTTAAAAGAGGACAGGTATGTACCATTATTGAGTGATAATGTGTAAAGTAACAGAAACCGTTGTAGTTTTTTTTTTATTATTATTGTGTAACCATCTGCGATCAGTCCTTGAACCATAAACAGATCCGTGCTATAGTTTTATGTCGTCATTTATTTTTATTCATATAACATTTATTCGTTTTTGGTTTTAATAGTCCAGTATACTTTTTCAAACGACTCAAGCTACCTAGATGCTTTTTGTCAACTAGAGATCTTGCAATACATTTGTATGTAGATATGTAGATTCATGGACAACAATCAACTGTTTAACTTCCAATAAGCATGATTCGTATAATGATTCCAAAGAAACAAAACCTCGCAGGCACCTTATAAAGCTTAAATCCAAGTTGTATGATTTGTATGAGTATATAGTTTTCAATGAAGATAACTGCTGTTTTAATTATAGACAAGAATTTATTTCCAAGACAGCACAGTGAATATGAGTGAAAGAAATATTCTTTTCACCTCACTAGCTCGGAAAGGCTTTCTTTCTCATTAGAAATCTGCGCGCAAAAGCGTTTATTCCCCGCTTGCGTGGAAAAGGTTTTTCAAATTCAAACTTGACGATGGACTGTGCTGCACCTAACTTTTCTGTCGATTAAAAAAACATAATACGTTTAACTACGTGATTTGTCGTAGATTATTTATGTAGGTAATATAAATCCATTGGTATATTTTATTCTTATTAATTTTGACATTAAATTGACAACGATAACTAAATTTGTTTATTAAATTATTTTAATTCGTCGTAGAACTAAACTGATTTGTATAGTTCAACTGTTTTTCTTTCATCTACCATTTTCTTCGCTATAGTGAGGTGAAAAGTTGTGTGTTTCGCTCGGCAGCAAAGTTGTTTTACGTCTCGTGGCTTGAAACCCTCGCTACGC